TTATTATTATTATTATTATTATTATTATTATTATTATTATTATTATTATTATTATTTAAATACTGACACTTTGAGCCAACTCCAGGCACACAACTTCTTCATTCTTGAAGTAGCTTCGGAGCACTTCTGCAGACTCTGAAAACTGCAAAATCATGCTCCATTCTCCTGCGATTTTGGCTCTGCAAGCTGCAGAAGAGCACAACTCATTCTCACATGGCCTCTTCACAAATCACATAAGAATGTGATGTGCTTTCAAAAATAGTTGTCAGATGTTGTGAAATCTGGCCTGTCACTCAAAACGTTATGGCATGTTACCTTTAACATGTGCATCATAGGTTCACCATTAATTAAGCCATCATTCTGCTTTTAACAGAATAAATAATAAGATCTCTGGGAGCTCACACACAATGTACAGATGTGTCCTGGTATTTTTTAAATTGTTTTTGTGAAAGTATATAATTCTGAACTTAGAAATTTCATTCTGGAATCTACAATTAAATGTTTTAAGAAAATGACAAATTGTTTATGAACTTTATGCATTAAAATATGACCAATCGGTTTTGAAAATCGTGACTGTGGTTCACTCCATAACTTCTGTCACATATACAAAGCCACTTTATCAAAGTCTAAACAACTGGAGCTATTTATGCTATGATGAACACAATGGAAATCTTGAGAAGTATCCTTTATAACCTCTAGTCTATATCTCCTACAGAATGGCAGGAAGATACAAATCACTTATCCTAAACATAGAAGTAAGCAGAAAGGCACTGATTCTTGTTGTGCCTTATATGCAACAGGCATTTTCTTTTTAGTATGGTCTAGTTGCAGCATCCAGAAATCATATAATTGTTCTCATTTTTCTAAAAATACAATGAAAATGATTGAAACTGAAGTAAGGGACATTTAAATAAATATTCCTGTGCAGTGGTCATGGCTACAATTGATCTTCTTGTGTTATATAATATTGAGAGCACTCCAACTGAAGTTGTGCAAAACAATGACTGTAGATCTGTACTTTAATATATGATTTTGCTATCTAAGGAACATTAACCATTGCCTAAGGAACCATTAATCATTCTCACTTCACTATAATCTGGATATAAATGCGGATAATTTGTCAATGTAAACCATTTAATGGCTTCCAATACTCCCATGTTTCTTGGTAGATTATTGCCTTAGTGAAATCAATATCATTGCCTTGGTCAATTCGTTCTGTTCCATATATTTCTGATTTACATTGATCGGAAGAGTTGTAACAGTATTATCTATTTTTGAATGGCAAGATGGAAAGCAGTCATAAACTATTTGAGCCAGTTTCCACTCTCTCTCCGTTTCTTTTATTAGAATTCCAACTATAAATAAAACCCAATACAAATACAAATTCAATTCCACACTTTCCTCCCTTTTCTTTCTTGGTTTTTCAATTAAATATCAATTTCCCAGGTGAGAACTGGCGAATGCTACACAATGTCATAAAATTCCTCGGCATTACAATTATCACCAAATGGATTAGTTGTTATTGGACACTTGTTTCTACCTTAGTTGGCTCACTTGTTTTCCAGCTGGAATGCTCTTGAGTACTCCTTAAAAGCTGCCTGACTCCTATACTAATATCCTTGTACCTCTATTAGCATTATCAGAGCAGATACAAATAAGTAAGGCTCCTCCACCACCTTTCCTACTATACGGATCTCTTGGGTAAGATAACTAAACAATGACTGAAGCAAATATGTCTGGAAGTGCTGCAGATCAGTCTGTTATTCCATGAACAATTCCTTTCTAGGACATGAAGCTTCTTGCATTTCTACTAAGAAAAAGAAAATGCATTCCTCAGTTAACTTCTGGTTTCTGATGGCTTCTCCCCAAAAAGGAAATGAAAGGAGGCATTTCTATACTTGCAAATCCAATCTTGTGCTTGTATACATGTCTGCTTTTGAGTTGTAGTATTTGCATTAATCAAGAAAAAGGCTGCAAAATGCAGCTGTCAGGACGTGAATATTTAGAGGACTGGAGCACATGAGAAAGTTTTTCATCTAGCCTCTCACTGTAGCGTGCGTCCGTCCATCCATCCATCCATCCATCCATCCATCCATCCATCCATCTTTATAATTAATAAAAAAAGAAAAACCTAATAATAGTGATGGTCATACATTGCCAAGGAGGAGGGCAACAGCAGCAGGAGGATAAGAAGAAACATATAAGAATTTAAACAAAAAGTGAAATAAGTATGACAAAGAAAAACATGATGTAATATGATAAAAAAATCAGTTAAAATTCTATATACAGTATACTTGTCTAAGGCAAATATTATTCAAGTATGTATATATTTCTAATGCATTTATATCTTATTTTCATAGTCTTCCACAGAGACAGAAAGCAAACGTCTTCATTAGAGCTGTGAAAGACAAGGCCTACCCTTTTCCTTTTCACTACTGCATTTCAGCAGTACAGTCTATATGAACAACTCTGAATCCTTTGTGACTGCCCTACTGAATGCCTCTAAATGAAAGAGCTGTTCCCCTGCCATTTGTGATTCACAACTCAGGTTTCAGATGTAACACAACACATGAATATGAATAAACAGATGGGAGGAGGAACAGGGGAAAAGTGTGATTAATTTGATCAAAACTCTAACCCCAGAGTTACAGTGCAGCAGCTGTTTTGTCATGGACAGTATTTAATATCTCAGAGCTGGCCTACAATAGCTACAGGGGTTTTCAAAACACTTCCATTTATTTCAGCCAGATACATCTGTACTTCTGCATGCTTTCTGGGCTATGCCAGCCACATTTCTACATGGGCAATTATTTCTGAAACCACTTGTGCAATATACAGTATATCATAAGTGCAGTAGTGTGCCATGTGTACATATGATTTTATTGTGTATCCCAGAAGTTTAGTCCAGTGTAGCATCAAATATGCTAGACTATAGCTGGGGGACCCAGATTCAAATCTACCTCTAATCACTTTAATATAGTTAAAAAATCCCATAGTTTTGTATTTTTAAAATAACCGCAGCAACAAGAGCATCTTCACTTTGCAGCACTTATTAAAATGAATTAAATCTCTTTTAAAATAGGACTTGTTGCCACATTTATGGTATTTCGTTGCCAATAATAAAGATCAAATCTAGACATAATTTCCAAATAATATTTTAGTTTTCCTTGTTTTGCTTCATAAAGCCTTAGCCCTTCATTCTAAAATGGTGTGTCTGCAACTGTATTTTGGTCTTGATATATTGTTAGATTGGATTAGATTAAATTAGATTAGATTAGGTTTGGATATTAATATTTTTAAGAGGCAAGAGACTATTTCTATTACATTGCGGCTTCAGTAAACAATACATAAACAAATACTGTATTCCCAAAAGATCCTTATTATATTAGGCTCTAAGAGCAAAAACCTACAAAGCCTCTTAGAATAATGAATTACTTTGCTATTCTTTAAAATTGCTCATTACTATCCAGAGTTTTTCAAATGTAGTATCCTTATCCTTATCAGGAAGAAGACAAAGAGAGACAAGGCAACATTTCCAACATTTCCAAAAGCATATCCTAGCACCATAAGCAAAATGGAAGCATGCTCTACTGCTCTTGATTCTGTATCCATAGATACTAATCTTAATGTGAAGTTCCCACTGCCCAGCCCACACAAGTGCTTTTGGCATTAAAAAAAAAAACTAGGTTTCATGATACACCTTTGAAAGGACAGTCTAAATGGAAGAAAGAAGTAAGTCTCTTGAGTATTTTGGTTTCAGCAACCAGATCTGACAAGTAATAATTTGAGCTATCTTGTAGGCCTCAGATTTTAACTAAAAGGGGACCTAGCCTGATTCTACTATAAGTGCCATAATTGTTTTTAATCTGGGACTGGAGACCATCTTGCCTTATTTGTGTACAATTCAAAACCTACCTTGCCTAAGATAGCATTTAGTCGTTCTGATTCACAGTCAACAACCACGACTCGTTCCTTCTTTTTTTCCAAATTTTGGAAGAGCGACTTGTAGTCCTCTTCTGTTGTTGTCATAACGTTGACTGCTGTTACCTGCCAGTTCTTCTCTGCAGCTGTATCCAACACCTTTTGCAGCACTGACAAACCTGAGATAAGGTAAGATCAGATCATATCAATTCATAAGAATGGCTGTTTTATCTTTCTCATTGCCATGATAGTCAATGAAATAATAGCTTTCAGAAATGCTTCATTTCTATATAAATTTCATGATCCCAATCAATAAATCGAAGGTAAGAGACAGCATTTTAATATTTAACATCTAAATGATATGTTTACAATACATGTTCACATAATGTCTGTTGTGGCCTGATAGTGGCCAGCAGAGCTGGCAGCAGATTTGGACAGCAAGGAGGTTGAGGAGGAACATGGGCCAGTCCTGGAGTCTGAGGAAGGCTCTGATGAGTTCTCTGTGTTGGAGGCAGAGATAGAGCCAGGGCCGTTTGACAGTTATCAGCTACCTTCAGATTTGGACATCAGTGAGGCAGAAGAACAGCTAGAGCCTGTTCCCAGTGTGCACATGCGCAGAGTTGCCAGTAGAAGGGAACAGCTGAGGAACAAGGGCTGACTTGGGAATAAAGCCACAGGTGGACGGTGAATGGCCTCTCCCCTAGAGTATAAAAGAGGAGTGAAAGGGAAGTGGGACTTTGCAGGAGGCAATTAGTTCATTCCGGCATGCTTGCCAAGTATTGCGGTGTAATTGAGAACTATTTTGAAAGACTGTTGGCCAAGACTTTGTTGGAGAAGTAATTCATTGTAAATTAAATAAAAGGGGTTTATCAGGATGAGGAGTCGGCTTCCTGCTGTTGGGGAAGCCTAGGTCAGAACAATATCAAATGGTATATTAGATCAGCATTATTGTTCCCATTTTGTATATGTTGGCAGCTGGGCAAATCCACTATGATATGGTGATTTATTTAATGTAACTTAATGCATTATGTGGCACAAATTAGATTTGCAGTATCCTCTTATTTCCTACATTTTATAAGAACTTAATCTCTCTATCCCAATCAATTCTTCATTTGTCCCACAGCTCAGTCAGACTTACCCCGGTCAGCATCATAAATGTACATAAACTTCTGGCACTTGTAATATTCAATGACATTGATGAGGGCATCCTGAAGTTCAGGGCGCAGCTGAATAACAAATTGATTGGATGTGTCAACAGGGAAGCTGGGTGTTACAAAGCAGACATGTAGTGCCCCACAGAAGGACGTGAGCATGTTGACAGTCCTCCTCTCGTAGAAGCCAAAGATAGCATAGACCCCCTTGGAGAACTGAGAGCAGACTGTGGAGAGAAAAAGAAGAAAAAAAAAGTCAGAAATTCTCTGAAAGGAATTAGGTACAGTTACATTTTATTATGAGTTTATTCATTTGCAAATAATCATATAATTCAAATAACTGAAACTGAAGAAAGCCTCAAAGATGGAATGTCCCATTCATTTTCTCTGAGTTTGATGACACATTGTCGTCATGACAAGATATCGTCTTGACTGGCACTTTTTCAAATATCTTCCAAGGGAATTGAGGCTTTAAAAATGATAGGATTAAGTTTATCTAAGCCCACACACGCAAGCAAAGGAAGAAAGGATACCGGAGGAGTTTTGTGATATATCATCATATGTTGTACAGTTATTTCCATGCGGGTCTAGGAAAATGCATTAAATATTTTTTCAAGATAATAAAGCCACTGAAATGAATTGTATGGTTCTAAGCAAACATTTTTTTTAATTTCAATCTACAATATAAAATCTAAATTAGAACTAAAAAGGAACTTATCCAAATTAAAGGCAAGTAATATTTCAAAAGCATGTTGACGTTTCAAAAATTCTTCTTGATGTGACAATTCAAATAAAACTGCTTTTAAGTGACCTACCTTTTGGCCATTCAAGTATCTAGTATGCCTATGGAGATTCTCAATCATTCAGGTCATGGTGCCTTTCAAAAGGCAACTGGATTTTCTTGATTGTTTTCCCCCTTGAATACATTTCATTTCTCATCCAAAAAGCTTCTCCAGTTCTTGCCAAAACTGAAAAAGTTTCTTAGATAAGAAGGGAAATATTTTCAATGGAGAAAAAATACAACAAAGATCAGCTGCCTTTGAAAAGCACCTTTGGGACAGGTATCTAGAATATTTAGCATGTTTGAGGTAACTTTTTCTTAAGAAGATAAGGAAAACTCTGCTGGATGAAATAAAAGGTTGTTTCTGGATGCAGTAGTATTCCCCATTGCCTCTCACACACTTTGATTTCCTCACAAAAGCTTGCAAGAAGCATCCTAAAGTACTAGTAGGCCTATCCTCCACAAAACATGGTCTGCCTCTTCAGAAGAAAAAAAAAACAGTGAACAAATGATGTGATAGAAATCCCTGAGGTTTTATTCTGCTATGGCATTTTTAAGCTTGTATGAAAAAGGGAGATTTGGAAATACTAATTAATGCTTTGGGGGACATTTTCAGCCTCATCACTTTTCTCTCTTGAGACTCTTTTCTAGCAAATGTGAGAGTTAACGCTAAGATATGAAACAGTAACCCTAGGTTCCATAATAAGGTGAAGATGTAATTTGGATTTGTTCCTTTAAAGTACATGGATATGGGGAATCTAGTAACATGCAAATTGTTGCTCTCAAGGTCAGCAGTGATTTCTGGAGAGACAAGCAATTTAGATTATCTAACAGTAGGGACAAAAAGGGAAAATTATGGCTTATATTTGGAACCAAATCTTGTAAGAGTATTATATCACATGAGAATTCATATTTAGAAAATGTCACATGCTTATTAAAGATTTTATCTTTGAAATTTCAAGACAAATTATACTGTATAGGCCAAGTTGAGCTGTACATGCAGATGTGCAGCTGAACTGAATACACATATTAGGAAAGATGCATAAAATGTATAAGTGAAAATAATTTTAATCACTAAAACAGGTTTTATTTGTTTAAATTATAATTCAGATATGTCATCCTCACACCTCTAAATATAGCTACCGGTATGTAGAATTCCTAATTTTTGGTATGGCTGATTGGTCTTTATCATATTGTGTAAAATTCTGGAACCTAGTATTAATTTTTTAATCTTTTAGAAGTTGCTTTTTAACTTTTTTTTGCAGAAATTAATATTAATTAATTGATTGCTTCTGATAACTAATTATGCAGTTGAGTCTCTGTCATATTTAATTACTTCTGATTACTTTATTTCAATGCTTTGGTTGTTTTTGCTGCTGTTTTATTGGTTTAAGCTGTCTGGGCAACTGTATATAAAATATAAAATGTATTCTTTCTTAGAAATAAAAAAATAAACCCTGAAAGGGGGGGTTAGCACAGAAACTTAAAAAATTGTGAAAGATTTGATAACAAATGATCACATGTGGCAAGCTTTCACTTGTGACACAGTTGATCATGTTATTCCTGCAGTGAAAAAGATTGGGGTAGCTAGATCATCATAATGACTCTAGATTTAACAAAAATATTAAGCAATGACATTTCTGCATAAATAAAATCAAATGCTAAAAAATGTTCATTAATTCTAGTTTTCTTTTCACTGATTTCAATAATTCTGTTGCTAGTAGGCAAAAGGGCTTGATCTTTGTCAAACAGCTCCTCTGGAGAAGTTTTGCACGGGATCATGGGACTACTTGAAAGCTATGTACAAATTTCCAGAAGAAAATGCATGATAGGGACAGCAGCATATTTTGAAATACTGTATAAACCTCAGGCATGCATATTGTCAAACAAGTTTAACTTCATTCGTGTTTAATGGTACATTCCGATAAATCAAATTCTAAGGTGATCGTTCTTAAGAGTGACTGTGCTTTCATCTTAAGGCCAGCCTTCGGTTTTAATATAGATGAATATGACTTTATAACTGCAGAACCCTCAAAAGGAATCTTTAAAAAAAACCTGAGTTTTTCACTGTTTTTGTTCTTCTCTGAAGTAATTCTAGTTTTTGCTGTCTAGCCCGTGATATTTTCTTGTCTTTTAGCAAAGGGATAAGATAACAACTGCAAATGTTGTAAAAGATCTTCTCTGAGTGCCTCGAAGTACAAGAGCAAAGAATAATTTTAGATTATGCAAAAATATTGGCTCTGTAGATTTTGCAGAATTAATATTCCCAGATTTTTCATTCACTGTACTGGGTGGGATTGCTGGGAAGTATAGCTTATCAACTTCTATAGGGAAATAGAAGTTTATGAGCAAACAACATGAGATGATGTAAAAGAACATCCTGTACTTTTTATTACTAACTCCTCAATTTACTACATCAGTCTGATTTTATGTCTTCTGATTAACATTCTACTTGGTAGGGCAGCTCTGTCACTACAAACACAGCAATGCCAAGAAATGCCATCTGGAGAAATATAAAAGTATTGTCTAATAAAAAACAAAAATCAAGTGAAAGTTGCCTGAATACGTTGTTGAGCTATGGTGAGGAACTGCTCCAAGTACTCTTTTCCAATGCTTTCAATCTGAAATCTCTTTTTAAATAAATAAACCTTAATTTGAATTAAAATACAATACAGCACTTTGAAATGAGCAACATAGTGTATTGTAGATTCCAACACCCTTTGATCTCCCCAAATAAGACAAAATATTTATGTAAAATGTGCAATTTTAGTAGTTTTGTAAATTTGTGCAGAATTTCAGTGGAAGTCTTTGGCAGTCTTATAAGACTATAGCAATTTGGGTCAGGTCACCCAGACAATTAATAAGGTTTTTCAATGGTGCTCAAAGGATGAAAAGCTTGCTCATCTCTGCCTCAGTTAGTAATACGGTAAGTGCTAGATGAAGTACTACAATAAATTTTCTGGAGTTCTATGAGTTTTGGTTAAGAGGCTTAATCAAAATAAAATATAATAAAAGACCACCAAAAACTTTTAGTGTTTCATTTAACACAGAATAATATTAGATCTCCAGATAAATAATACATATTTTCTCGGACACAGCGCATACCAGAATATTGGAGTTATAAGAAATCTGAAGCAAGCACTTCTCACATTTCTATTAGCCCAAATAAATGAATATGCACACTGAGAGGATATGTGGAACACTTTAAGTTCCCCACATCATGCACACACAATAATCATGCACACTGAGAGATATTTTCTCTATTCTGACAAATGAATCTTCCATGCCTCGCCCTAAACCAAGGACATCTGAAGAGAAGAAAGAATATGTCTAAAGTCTCAATGTACAGAAATTATTAGATTTCTGGGGTGGGGTGGGGTGGGGAAAACATAGCTTTGAATCCAAAATGAAACTGAATATGACAGTATTAAGCAAAAAATGCACAGCAGGACTGAGAATTACAACTTGAACTTTACAATCTGTTATTTCAGTATGGTAATCAGAATAAATGCCTTCCAACAATAGTTGGTAAGCATTGTGATCTTTCTAAAAGTGCCTTCATTTGCCAAGTTTTAGCTCATTTTTTTTGTTATTGTTGAGAGCAATAGTAAGGGAGTCATAATGTAAATTTAAGAAAATGATTTTAAATTAAAAAAATATATGAGAAAAGCAAATTGCCTCTCTCTGCTGCCATTAAAGATGGCCTAAGTGTTATCTGCCAGGGAAATGAAATTTTATATGACCAGAATTTTTCTTACATTGTAATAAGAAAAACAAAATACTATATGGTGAAATTTTAGCCCCAATGTTTTTGCTATAGTTTTTCTTTCTTTGCATCATTGTCTCAAGTAATATTTTTGGAAAAACAAAGAAAACAATCCCTCTTCTTTGATAACCTCATTACCATCTTGTGATCTATCTACCTCATAAAGCAGATTATGGCTTTGAAACACATTGATTACAGATGCCTCTGATTACAGATGCCACATTCTTTTCCTCTCAATCTTTCTGTCATCTTCAGTACTTTGTATCAGTCATGAACAGGCATCAGTTCTCCTCCTACGCTGTACTCAGATAATTGTTAATCCCAGCCCTTGAAACAGATTCTAGCAGCCAAGAACTCACAGTTCTAGTCTGTTTAGATGGTTGAGGCAAGTCAGAATATTTGAAGAAAAGACCATCTGTGGTTAGGTAACTTGAGGGAGGAGTAGAGATATTTCTTGCTTTCTGTATGACATTCTTAATAATGTACTTTGAAAACTACTGCAGTCATCTTTCTTCCCCTTCTCACAATAACCTCAATTACTTAAATTAGATCCTGCCTTCAGAAGGCAACAACTTTATACCTGTTATAGTCCCATAATTAGTTTGAAATTCACATTAACTGTCAGTAATAATAATCCTGTGGACAACAGAAAAAGGAGGCTTGGGACTACTTTCCATTTG